ACTCATCCATTTTATTTCAGCATGTAACTTTGCCTTCTGCTTTGAAACAAAGTTAAAGCTATCAGAAAAGAACTGACAAACTTACGATCTTAATTGCCTCTGTGTCTGCCAGTTTCTCTGTCGTTCTAGTTGCAATGGCATCTCTACAGGTCACTCTCCCTTTCCCCCACATGTTCCATGACCTTGCTTTATCAGCTATTTTTTCTCTGGTATCACTGCTTCAACATTAGAATCCTTCCTTCTAGTCACATTTCCCACTAGCCTCCCACCCTCTCTTCCAACCCATTTATAGCAAAAGGTATTAAATACTCTATCTTCACTGACCATCAGCAGTTCTTGACATTAATTATTGCTAAATCACAGCAACCTTCTTCTTACTTGCAACACCCCAAATTCCTTAAAACTGTTGTCTCAAAATTCACTTGGTTTTCTTGCCCCACAATCAAGAGAAACTTCTTTAGGCCTTACTCTCCTTCTCTCTGGGAAGCACTTGACTATTCTTTCTTATCACAGTCATTGTCTCTCACTTCTCTGACAAGATACTGTCCTCAGTGCTTTATTTTTGTTTTCTTTTTAAGTAATAGATTAACCTTTCAAATTTTTTTCTTTACTCACCACTCCTTGGAAATCAATTAAATATCCATAGATCAACATTCAATAAACATATATAATTGTTCACATTTTTATCTACTTAAGTCTTAACTTTATTATTTCTTCATTCTTTAATTGGTTATGCTTATTTCTAGTCACTGGTATTTAACACAATTATGTATTTTCAGTCATACTTTATTGCACTTTCTGGCTATGTGTTCCCCTCAGAATGCCCCTACTAATGGAGTCCACAGGCTGTGATAACTGGTATAGTGATTGACATTTTGGAGTATATATTCTTTATTTTCAATCTCATTTTATTTTTAGCTCAAAAATGTGTTATAAGGATATTTTTTAAGTTTCCCAAACTTATGGGAAGGGTAACCATTTTTATTTTTGTGTCTAAAACTTACGTAATTTTAAATGTGTTCTTTTATTTTCTTATTTCCCTAGTAACTTCTTTTCAAGTTCATCTGCATTGCAACTACTGCATTGCCTGATTTTCCTGTATTCTCTCTTTCAGAAGTTTGATCCTTGCCATGCTTCTATCTGTAGATTTGCCCTGAGCAATATGTCAATAGCTATAGCTCCAATCAATATTTTCAAGTAAATGAGTCTTTAATATGGTCAACTTTGAGATGACTGAAAAAAATTCTAGATAGATTGACAGCATAACATTTTAGTTTTTATAGCAGTTTATTCAAGAGTTCAAATACTAAAATATATCATCAATTTTAATCCTTATTTTGATGGCACACTTTTAAAGGACAACCTAATAATTTCCTTAAATATGTAAGATGCACCACCCTAAATAAAATGACCAAGTTAATATCTACATTGAACAATAAGCTATTGTTAGTAAGAACAACTTGGCTATAACATTTTGAAATAGTATTATACTTACTTCTAGTCACACAAATGAAGAGTCTGATATTTTCATTTGCTGTAAATAACCAATGGACACAACAGAATTTTTCTAGCTGTTTTCCTGCACTTTTGGCCTGAACTACAAAATGAAAAATTGTAGTAACTGTAAAACTGACACACAGCACAGGAATGAAAAGAACAAACTTGGCAGATAAGCTAAGAGTTAGCTCATTTTTTCTCAAAATGTTGTCCAGGCAAACTCACATCATTTAGGATAATTTTTAAAAAATACAGACTTCTACATGCCAATGTAGACAAATATAATAGAAATATCTGAGGGTGGAGCCCTAGATTCTACATGTTATAAACTCCACAACTATTCATTCCTATGCATTCTTAATTTGAAAACAAAAGTTATAAGTACTGTACTTGTTTACACTGTTTCAAGAACATGCACTGTTTAAATCATTAATTGCTTTACAAGGAGCTCTTTCTATGTTGTGAGAAGAAAATATAAATATTCATTGTAACCACAATGAAAGCCAAACTCATGAGGAAGGTGCTGGTGAGCAGGGAAGTGGTTTATTCACCTGCTGGCCACCGGAGAAGATGGAGGACCCTCATCCCAAAGTCTATCCCCACCCTCCTCAGTAGTGGCTTTTATACGGAGAGGAAAAACAGAACAAAGAGATCAAATGGAGGGGTTAATTGTTCTCTACTGAGGAGACTACATGCAAGCTAATACAGTCTGTTCAGATAACTGATTAAAGATCAGCAAATCTCCTGGAGCTGGAACATCTGAGAGTCAAAATTTATCTCCTCTGAAGTCATCTTCTACAATTTTCAAGCAAATTGGCTGCTTTTTGAAGTCACACATCAGCCAGACTCAGCAACCACAGGAAAAAAATTTCAGAAGAATGGTGTGTAGAGCCCTGGCTGGTGCAGCTCAGTAGATCAAGTGCTGGCCTGCCAACCAAAGAATTGCTGGTTTGATTCCCAGCCAGGGCACATGCCTAGGTTTCAGGCCAGGTCCCCAGTAGGGGGCGTGCCAGAGGTAACCACTCATTGGTGTTTCTCTCCCTCTCTTTGTCCTTCCCTTCCCCACTGTCTAAAAATAAATAAACAAAAAATCTTTTAAAAAAAGAGAATGGTGTGTTGATTTACATTATAAGTAAAATTAGATTTCTATATAAGATGGAATATTATAGGAAAAACCTGGCATGGAAAGTGAGTTAATTCTTAAGGCTGAAGTTTATTTCAGTGTTATAAAGTAGTGCTTCCTAAATTCTATGTGCATGAAAATAACCTGGAAATTAGTAGTCTACAGATTTAGAAGTAGTAAGGCAGAGATTAGATTTCGCATCTCTAACAAGCTCAGGTGAGGACACATTTTGAGTAACAGACAACAGCTGGATCCTGCTGATTAAAAAAATCACCTTTCCTATTACTGGCCTTTAATTTAAAAACATTTAACAAAATTTTCCCCTCCATAAAATCAACAAAACAGAATCTTTGATTGAACTGAGAAATACAGATTAGCTGTTTTTGAAGTTTTTCTTCATTTTGAAAATCTTTTTACAGCATCATCTTCTACCAAAAAAAAATGTCCTTTCTCATGAAGTCTTCATGCAAATAAAAGCTCAGCAATTAATAACAGTATAATATTATTAGCAGCAGATACTTCAGTAATGCAAATACCGAACACAAAATTGTTTTAGATAATTTTGCCTGAAAGAAATAATACTTTATAACGGTGTAATTAGAGAAAACGCATAGAAAAAATGTAAATTTTTAGTATTCAAATAAAGACTAAAGCATTTTTTTAAATCCTAAAAAAATTATCTCAATACCTGATAAGTATTACCTTTTCAGTATAAAAATGTGAGGTAAAAACATTAACACTGGGCACTTTGGGGGGGCGGATTTTGTCCTGTGGATGAGAAGGGAGCCACATACTAAATCTGACAAGTTCAGAAGAAACCTGCACGGTGGGTTTACAAATTCAGGGACGTAAAGTCACCAATAGGATGGTCTGAAATTAAATCTTTTTAGTTAAAAACAAGTCGATGGATAGTCATATCTTAAGGTGATATCTCAATTAATGTTAATCGTTACCTTAACTGAGCATGTCTATTGTCTTTTTGCATCTACAACGCAAAAAGAGTTGCGTTGGAGAGTCAGAACCATCCCTGTTCTCCAGACCCCTCAGGGCACAATCTCCACTAGAGCAGGGAGCACAGATCCCTTCTTGTTATGTGGTTCCTTGCTACCATCTCTATGTGCTGTAAATGTTCACTGTTAACTATTATGTACCCATCAATGTAGAATAAGTATGTGTCTCCTCATTTTACTGTTTATCTGAGCTCAGAGGTTTCCTTGATTTGCCTTCTCCGGCCTCCCTAAGTAAACCCCCTTATATCATCTCCTTTGATTCTAATACATAAAATAAGGTGCAAAACTGCCATTCCCTGGAGCATTTTCTCAATCTGTTGGGATTTTGCTTTCCAGCAATTGGCTCCGATAAACTCATAAAATTTTTACAGGTGTGAATGTTTCTTACATCAGCAATCCCAAATGAATAAAAGACAATAACAATGGGAGTATTCAGATTTGAGGATAGTTTAGGTTATTTGTGAAAGCTGAAATCCATGAGCTTCCAAATTCAGTAGCTAGGACTTGGTTTTGAGTAACCAGGGGGATTGGCTATTATTCAGACTAATGACACTTTTAAAAGGTAAAGACCTAGAAAACCCAGTAATGCTGACTCATAAGCATACATTTGTTTTGGTCTTCTACGGGAATTAGGCATGCAACTCCCATTAACAGAAGACAGGAGTTCTATATCTAATTTCCCTCTCAGCAGGCTATAAACAAACACCATAATTTGGAGGATTTGCAGCTTTAAGTAAGCTACATTGTAATCAAGCATTGCATATGATGAAATGGAAATGATGGGAGAAATGTCTTATCCTTAATTTTAAATGCCCTGTGTTTCACAAAGCTTCTCAGGCACAAATTAAAATAAAGAATAGTTGCACTGCTGAGTAGCCTTTATTCTTAAACGTGATTTCCAGCTCCAGTGCCCCAATCTATTATAAACAGTGAGTTCAGCTTCTTGAAATGCAACTTTGAAAATCTGTTTTGTCTCCATTATACAATTTAGTCAGCAAAACAAGTCAATCTGACTTTACCGAAGAGAGCGGAATATAATGATTAAAAAAAGAATTACAATGCTTCTCTTTGACAGAGAAAAGCCACACATGTATAAATACAAATTATTCACTTCTACTGTTGCATATTTTAATTGACATCTCAGAACCAATTTTTACAGAGTTGCTTCATGTTAGAGGAAACTTTTTCTTCCTTTTTCACGTAGAGGACCATCACTACAGATGTACAGGTGTTTATGGAAGATAGTGCTAAGGAAAAAAGGTAATATTACTTTACACAATTACATGGTTCATGAAACAATAAAAGAAAAATGCAACTGAAGAAATAATTTATGGTGCTCATTCCCTTATGGCCCTTATTTAAAAACAAATAAAGATACCTGGCAGGTGAGATACCAGATTCACGAAGGTGGTTTTCCCAGGGCGAGGCTCACCCATTGCCCTCCAGATGTGCCGACCCCTGCGATTTCCCCAAATGTGGGAAACTCGACTGCTTGATTTGTGGTAGTGGGGGACTGCATTTGTGCCCTCCCCTAGTTAAAAACAAACAAACAACCAAAGAAACAAACTAAAGACAATTCATTTGTCTTGAAGAACATAGACTGTCTGGAAACTGGAGTACGGTGACAACCGAGGAACAAAGTGGCATATTTGTAACTTCATTCAAATGTTGTTCAGAGCACAAAAGAAATTCCAACACAAAATATTAAAAGATAACAATGGATGTTTCAGGAAGAACATGGTATAACCTGTAACCTACTGAGATTTTGCCAAATTCAGAAGTCTTTTCTCAATCATCATCTTCACCAATCTCCTCATACCTCTGTTTATTAATGTCGTTGTTTATGCTATTATAGTTGTCCCAATTTTCCCCCTTCACCTCCCTCTCCCCAGCTCGCCCCTTACTTCATAGTCAGTGCCAACACTGTTCTCCACGTTCTCCATTTCCATAAGTTCTTCATACATGTCCTTTGACTAATTCCTTCATGTTCCTTCAAACAGTCCCCGCCTTTCTTCACCCCTCTTACCAGTGTCAGTCTGCTCCATAATTCTGTGTCACTGGTTCTCTTTTGCTCATTAGTTTATCTCGTTTGTTTGATTCCTCTTCTAAGTGAGATTATATGATATTTGTCTTTCGGCAACTGGCTTATTTCACTTAGCATAGTAGTCTCCAGGTCCATCCGTGCTGTAACAAAAGGTAGGAATTCCTTCTTTTTTCTTGCTGTGTAGTATTTCACTGTGTAAATATAGCACAGTTGTTGCGGGGTTTTTTTATCTGTTCATCTGCTGATGGCCACTAGGCTGTTTCCAACACTTGGCTATTATAAAACACGCTGTTGTGAACATAAAGGTGCATAAATTCTTTGGAATTTGTGTTTTGGAATTCTTAGGATACATTCCCAGCAGTGGTATTGCTGGGTCAAAAGGCAATTCCATTTTTAATTTTTTGAAGAAATTCCATACTGTCTTACACACTGGCTGCACCATTCACATTCCCACCAATAGTGCACTAGAGTTCCCTTTTCTCCACACCCTTGCCGGCAGTTGTTTGCTGATATATTAATGATAGTGATTTTGGCAGGTATGAAGTGATATCTCACTGTGGTTTTAAGTTGCATCTCTCTGATGGCTAATGATTTGAACATTTATTCATATGTCTATGGGCCATCTATATGTCCTCCTTGGGGAAGTGTCTATTCAGGTCCCTTGCCTATTTTTTAATTGGATTAAAAAATCCAATTTTTTGTTTGTTTGTTTGTCTTCCTGGTATGAAGGCATGTGAGTTCTTTATATATTGTGGAGATTAAAACTTTGTCCAGTGTATCATCGGCAAATATGTTCTCCCATACAGTTGATTCCCTTTTAATTTTGATGATGATTTCTTTAAACATGCAGAAGCTTTTTAATTTAATGTAGTAAATTTTTAAATTTTTTTCTTTATTTCCTTTTGACCGGAAGATAAATTGGCAGACATATTGTTATGTGTGATATCTGAAACCTTACTGCCTATGTTTTCTGCTAGGATTTGATGGTATTATAATTATATTTAAGCCTTTTATCCATTTTGAGTTTATTCTGGTGTATGGTGTAAGCTGGTAGTCTATGTTCATTTTTTTTTTGCATGTGCCAGTCCAGTTCTCCCAACATCATTTATTGAAGAGACTGTTTTACCCTCAACTGTATGCTCATGGTCCCTTTGTCAAATATTAATTGACCATAGAGACATGGGTTTATTTCTGGACTCTATTCTGTTCCATTGATCTATGTGTCTATTATTATGACAGTACCATCCTGCTTTGACTATAGTAGTATTATAGTATAGTTTGATATCAAGTATTGTGATCCCTCCTAATTTGTTCTTCTTTCTCAAGATTCTCGAGTTTCTTTGGGTTCTTCTTTGGTTCCATGTGAAATTTTGAAATACTTATTATAGATCTGTGATATATGCCATTGGTATTTTTATAGGAATTGTGTTGAACCTATAGGTTGCTTTGGGTAGTATGGACAATTTACAAAAAACTGTACTTGAAAAATAACTAAATAAAATAAATAAATAAATAAATAAATAAAATAAAAAATAATAATTTTAATTTTTCTAACCCATGAACATGTTGCATGCTTCCATTTATTTGTGTCTTCCTTAATTTCTTTATTCACTGTTCTAAAGTTTTCCAAGTATAGTTCTTTTACGTCCTTCATTAAATGTATTCCTAGGTACTTTATTATTTTGGTTGCTATAGGACATTGGATTTTTTTCCTGGTTTCTCTTTATGACAGTTCATCGTTGGTGTACAAAAATGCCACCAATTTTTGAAGATTGATGTTGTATCCCAGTATGTTTCCAAATTTACTTATTTGGTAGAATAGATTTTGGTAGAGCCCACAGGTTTTCTATGTGTGCCATTATGTCATCTGTGAATGATGAAAGCTCTACTTCCTCCTTTCCAATTTGGATGCCCTTTATTTCTATTTCTCATCTAATCACTGTGGCTGGAAATTCCAGTACTATGTTAAATAAGAGTGGTAAAAGCACACAACTTTGTCTTGTTCCTGATCTTAAGGGAAACACTTTAAGTTTTTACTCATTGAGTATGATGTTGGCTGTAGATATTTCAAATATGACTTTTATTATGTTGACCTGTGTTCCCATATTCTCACTTTGTCAAGTGTTTTTATCATAAATGGTGCTAAAATTGATGAAATACTTTTTCAGCATCTATTTATATGATCAGGTGATTTTTGGCTTTCATTTTATTCGTGTGATATATTACATTTATTGATTTGTGAATATTGTACCATCCTTGTATTCCTGGAATAAATCCCATTTGATCATGGTATATGATCTTTTTAATGTATTGCTGGATCCAGTTTGCCAATATTTTGTTGAGAATTTTAGCATCTATGTTGATCAGAGATATTGGCCTGTAGTTTTATTTCTTTGTTGTGTCTTTAACTAGTTTTTGAATTAGTATAATACTGGCCTCATGAAAAGAGTTTGGGAGTCTTTCCTCCTCTTGAATTTTTGAAATAGTTTGAGAAATATAAGTGTTAGTTCTTCTTTTAGTGTTTGATAAAATTCACCTGTGAAGCAATTTGGTCCAGGGCTTCTGCGTGCCAGGTATTTGTTGATTACTGCTTCAATTTTGTTAGTTGTTATTGGTCTAATCAAGTTTTCTGATTTTTCTTGATTTGGTTTCTAAAGGCTGTATGTTTCTAGAAATGTATTCATTTCAACAAAATTGTCCAATTTCTTGTCATATAGTTGTTCATAGTAATTTCTTACAATCCTTTGTATTTCTAGGCTCAGTTGTTAGTTCTCCTCTTTCATTTCTGACTTCATTCATTTGGGTCCTCTCTCTTTTTTCTTGATGGGTCAGATTAATGGTTTGTCAATTTTGTTTATCTTTTCAAATAACCAACTCCTGGATTCAGTGATCCTTTGAGTTGTTTTTCTAGTCTCTATGTCATTTAATTCTGCTCTAATTTTGATTATTTCTTTCCTTCTGCTTGATCTGGGATTTGCTAGTTGTTCTTCTAGTCCTTTTAGATATAGGGTTAGATTCTTTATTTGAGATTTTTCTATCTTCTTGAACTTCTATGAACTTTCCTCAGAGTCCCATCAATTTTGAGTTGTTGTGTTTTTTATTTCATTTGTTTCCAGATACTTTTTGATTTCTTCCTTAATCTCATTGTTATCACATTCATTATTTAATAATCTGTTGTTCAGTATCCATGTATTTGAATTTTTTTAGTGTTTTTTAGGTAGGTTTCCAGTTTCAAGCTTTTGTGTTTGAAGAAGATGCTTGATATAATTTCAATTTTCTTGAGTTTGTTGAGGTTCGTTTTGTGTCCTACCATGTGGTCTATCTTTGAGGATGATCCATGTGCATTTGAGAAGAATGTATATTTTTTCTCTTTGGGATGAAATATTTTGTAAAAATAATTTATTAAATCTATTTGATGTAGAGTGTCTTTTAATGCCACTGTATCCTTGTTGACTTTAGTCTGGAAGATCTGCCCATTGTTGACAGTGGGGTGTTAAAATTTCCTACAATGACTGTATTGCTGTCTATCTCTTCCTTAAAGTACTTCAAGATTTTCTCTATATAGTATGTGCTCCTGTATTAGGTGCATTTATGTTTACAAGGATTATATTCTCTTTTTGGACTATTCCCTTAAGTGTTAGGTAGTGACCATCTCTGTATATTGCTATGGACTTTGTTCTGAAGTCTATTTTGTCTAAAATAAGTATTGCTGCCCCAGTTTTTTTCTCATGTTCATTTGCATGAAATTTTTTTTTAATCTATTCATTTTCAGCCTGGGTAGTTCTTTTGTTCTGTGGTAGCTCTTGTAGATAGTATATGTCCAGGTTGTGCTTTCTTATTCATTCAGCTACCCTATGCCTTTTTATTGGAGTTTTTAACCCATTTACTTTTAATGTTATATTTGGCAGGTACTTATTTATTGCCTTTTTTCTCATTGTACTTGAGTTCCTCTCTCTTCCTATTTCTTCTTCTTCTTAAAGCAGTCCCTTTAGCATCTCTTGCACTTCTGGTTTTATAGAAATGTACTGGTATATTCTTTTATTTTTTAATATGGGAAGCTCTTTATTTTGCCTTTCATTTTAAATGAGAGTCTTGATAGATAAAGTAGTCTTTTTTTTCCGGGTTTATGGAGTGGAAGTTTATTTTCACACGCACGGACTCAGAGGAGTCAGTCTCCAAATTTTGGGCCCCAATCAGTGGGGAGTAATGGCTTATATAGCGTGAGGGGGTGGTCTGTCACTCGGACCCTTACTTCTGGTGCAAAAACAGGAAGCAGCTTATGGAAGCAAGAAAGCAGAACTGCTGATAGGAGTTAATACAAATTTCTTTGTTCTTACTCTTCGGCTACTTAGTTACTTGCTCTCCCTGATCCTGTTGATTCACTGCCTAGCTCACCTCCTAGGCAGGCTATTAACCATTACATTTATCTTATTGATTCACTGGCTAGCTCCCCTCCTCAGCAGGCCACTACATTCCCCCCTGTTGATGCT